CTTCGATATCTCGAAATACATTATCACTAGCGGAAAACTTTTGAAAACAAATCTCTTTCGTTATTAAAGGTTCCATTTCAAAATATGTTCATTAATACTGGGTGTTTTATAGAAGCGGGAGGACTCGGAGACGAGTTTTTTTAAATAGAACATCCAGTGTTTTTTATTCGAAATTTATTCCGCTAAGGTTTAGCTCGACTTCGCTGTAAAAAAAATTGAATTTGGTTGCGACGTTGCCAAGTTATAATTGATTAACCCATTTTTACTACTATTGAAGGGTCATGTTGCCTTTTCATCGCTGATATAAAAATTAAAATCGGTTGCGGCGTTTTCAAGTTATGAGTAATTTCCTTATGTTTATCACTATCTCAGGGCTACTTATGAGGCATGGTTCCTCTATTTGAGTTGAGTGTGGGAATATTGAGGTTCTACATAGATCATTCAGGTATTTTTGCGTTATGTGCATTGTCCATCAAGGAAATATTCCGTAATCTTGGTACTTATGATTTAAATAATATGTACCTATATGTGAAACAAACAAACATGCCAAAAGATACGTCTGCCTTGAAAACGACTTCTACAATACAAACAATGGAGATTTGTATTGCGAGAATGAGGACAATTTTTCAAGATTTGGACCACTTTTATTATCGTTAGTCCCACAAGCCAAATCTCCATTTAACTTGAAGGAGGCAAACTCTACATAATGATACAAACAATATTTCTTCACTACGCGGGTTTCGAGAGGGAATTCAGCAAAATTTTGAATAAATTCAAGATCATTACACAAATAATAGAAATGTATTTCGCAAAATCAATGCATAGTCTGCAAGAAATCTGTGAAAGTAGCATTTTGGTACGATTTGTCAAAACCCACACTGTTTTAAATTCAAACTTGGAGAGCCTGTAAATGTTCCTATTGTAAAAAAATATATGAATGGTCAATGAAGTTTGATTATACCTTCGCAACGCAATATTTCCACAATACAAATAAATGAAAGAACTATGACGTACAAATTACCCCGAAATAGTAGTAAAAGTAAGGAAATTATCCATAACTTGAAAACGCCGCAACCGATTTTAATTTTTATTTCAGCGATGAAATGACGAAAGATGTCGGAATGAATTTGTGAATGGAAATACAGGGTGTTCCATTTGAAAAATTTTAATGAATGTCATCTGAATTTTGCAAAATTGAGCACCTAGATAAAATCGTTTTTGCTCATGGATATAGGACTGAAGGGCGCGGAAATAGAATCAGTTGAAAATTGACCAAATTTGGGTACTTCTCAATAAATAGCGTTTCTCGTCGGTTATCGCAGATAATTCATATTTCACGTATTACTCAGAGACAGAGCATCATGCACATATTGGAAGAGCATTCTATCGAGCTTATCTAAATTTCGTTATCATGAAAAAAGATGAACGGCTGTTAGAGCGCTCGGACTTGGAGACGTCTTTTAGTCGTAGTTGCCACACTCATCCTTTTAACTTATATATATGATCTGGATCATATGAACCTATATTCATTGAAGCTCTGGAACGTTTGAATAGGTCATTGTTTTTGTATTCTGTGGGGTGGGGGAAAAATAAATCAAATTCTGTACGCTGGAATTATAGTTTTTTTTATCGCTTGGATCGCACGAAAGGGAATCCCTATAATATTCAAAGAACATCGTGCGCGATACAATAATTCCAAATACTATAGGGTATCCTTCGAACATTTTGATAAACATCTTAAAATTATCTATTTTGTGATGAATAAGAATTATAATCAATTCTCGCTCATGTGGGTTCCAAGGCGTCAAGGGAATGAGGCAGCTGATCGCCAAGCAAAAAAGTGCAGAGCTCACATTTCAACTTTCTGTGAAACAAGTAAATTACCATATCACAGAGCTCAGAAAATGAGAATGAAGTGAAAAATCCTACTACTGTTGAGCAACTTTAGGTAAACGAGAAGGAAAGAGTTCTTCAACAATTCGTAAGCTAGTGAGTATCAGCAAACAAGAGCTAAAGCACGACCCTCTGAGCTATTATAAGAAAAAATGGGTCTAGAGGAGACTTACACTAAACAGCGGAGCACCTTTGTTTATGTAAATGTACCAGTCCGCCAGAGGCTGACTACTGACTACCCTAGAACAGTGGTTAATCTTTGGTAGAAGTCCATATTGCTCAAAGGGGCGTGAAATATTTCACATTGTGGAGATGACTTCGAGCATTCTTTCCTTCCTGTGAGGTCCCCTAGAACAGGTCTAGATAACGCCTGTTGAGGCGGAAAATTTAACCGTCAAGAAAATATTATAGGCTTCATTAGAAGTCTAGGGTTATAGAACGCAATTGATCAGAGGATGGTGATGCTATAATCTTCTAATCGTCACTACATCGTCGTTTGGCAGGGGGCAGGTACCCTGAAGGACTCGGTTCTGGGGATGGTGGTGCAGGTCGAGCAAATCGTGTTTTCTCCAGGGTACTCCCAAAATAGCTTGAATATGAAACTCAACCAAAAAAAAAAAAAATAAAACGGAAAGAACTGAACTGAAACTTTTGTATGTTGAAATCGCAGTGAGGCAGGTTCATAACAAGCATTTGCCGTAAATTCGAAGATATAGCCGCCGACAGTGAAGGAAACACTTCTAACTATATTTTCTCCAAATATGTGACATTTCTGATATTCCTTGCAAGAAAACTTGATTTTTCTACTCCGTTAACGAATAACAAGAGGCAGATAAGAAAATCAATATTCTTCCTAGTTGAAGTGAATATACTTAAGTACAGTGACAAGTCGAGAGTCATGAGTTACATGCTGACAGAGGTAAAAATTCACATGGTTAGGACTCTTCCACATCAGGCAGTCCAGTTCGTTTCTTCGAGGAATGCGTAGATTTGGAATTATCTGCGAAAATCGACGAAAAACGCTATTTTGGTCTGTTTTCAACTGGCTCTCTATATCCGTACTCGTCAGTCCTACATTCATGAGCAATAACAATTATGTTTAGGAAATTCCATCTTCTTCAACTTTCTATTGGGCGATCTTTTCGATATAACCTCTATAGTTTCCGAGTTATGGGCAAAAAACGAAAAAAGGCCGAAAATGATTTTTGCGAATATCTCGGAACGCTCCAGGAAATTTTGTTTGTAAAATTCAGATTAGAATTCAGCACCTCCAAAAACATATCAAATCAAAGAGGAACCGACTACTTGACTTTTTTCCTAGTGAAAATACCATTTGATTGGACCAGTGGGAGAACCGCGGCAAGCGTGGGCAAAGATCGCCTGTGCCCATCACCTTTCTATCACGTAGCTGATTATACATGTTATTAATATTGAATCGTAGATCACAAAATTGACACGTTGAATACTGATATGAGGATTCGGAGATTGAGGCCATAAAATGAAAAATAGCGTAAACAAAGTTGCATTCATTCAATTCAAAAATAGTTAATGTGGACGTCATTATGACGTAATTGCCTCCTACCACCTTCACCTAAATACTCTAACCGGGGGATCAACGGGGAATGTGAAGGAAATATCCCTCTAAGTTACAGGTCACAGGACCCAAATTTTCTGTGATTTTACTGGGCGGAGAATTCACGAGAGCCTAAAGCACAGTACAGAGCTTACTGTGCCTAAAGTTTCCGAACCATTCCCAAACTTCATTGTCAGATTGGTCACAGTAAATAACGTGATACATTATGGACGCATGCGCATCCCCACGTAGAAACTATTATGTAACAAGTGTTATAAACGTCCTTTTAGTAACGAGTATTTTAAGCACGAGCGGAGCAGAGCGGAGCGAGTGTTTAATAAACGAGTGTCTAGAAGGGTTTATAAACGCGTTACATACTATGCTTTTTCTACGAACTCCTAAAATAACATCAACATACCTCCTATTCCTGCTAACCTACAAAATAATTCGAAAGGAATGGGAATTGAGAACATAATAGATGCAACTGATGCATGCAACCAGCCAGACACGTATAAGTGATATTGGTTGTAGATAGTTGTAGATGTGTCCAGTCCATTGTTTACTAACCTTTTTTTCACGTTTATTGTCATGCTTAGCGCAGAATAAATAAATTGTTCTCAAAGATGGATGCATCATTTTTACACTTCATGGAGATACGCAAGTACCAAATCATTCTCTTAGAATTCACTTTCTTTTCAATGAAACATTCCGATACAAACGAAAATTGTTTGAATAATTCTGATACAATTTCAAAACCGATCGCACCTATAGTCATGCTCAGCGCAGAATAAATAAATTGTGCTCAAAGATGGATGCTTCATTTTCACACTTCTTGGAGATATGCAAGTACCAGAACATTCTCTTCGATTTCACTTTTCGCATATATTTTTAATGAAGAATTCTGATACAAACGAATATTGTTTGAATAATTCTGATACAAAATTCGGAAATAACAGTTGACAGTTGATACAATTGATAGGCCAGACATGTCTCTGAACTGCGTTGCCATGGTGATGTGTTTAAGAAGTCGTGTTGCCATGGTAACGTATTTGAATAAATCACAGATCGACAATTCGTGATTAATCGATCATTTAGCGTGGTACAAATGCCATTTTAGTTATGTGAGTAGAAAAACACAATTATTAACGATACCCGCAGGGTCTCGTGAGGAAGGAAAAACATCCTTGAAAGCCTAAATCACGACACAAATGATCACAGTGGACTGACGCCATGCAATTAGTGGACCAGAATAAAACTCCCTGGCCAAACAGCCTCCACAATTTTATTGCGAAGAACAATAAACTCAATATTATATATCGAGAATAATCAAAAAACATGAATCTCAACATATCACGTGACGGAAATGGTTCGAATGATTTAGGCACTTCTGAGAATTTGCCACTTCCTGATGGAGTTCTTTTTGGCAACGCTGCAGCATGATCATGGACGAAACAACGGTAAATTTGAGTTCGTGCGTGCCACTAGCCCTGTGCAACGCCTGTGCCCTGTGCCTTCTTCCTTCATTCTTTGTGTAATTTGTGTTCTTTTCTTTGTTTACCAGTGGTTCAAGAATTTTAAGATGTCCGAACTCGAACACCAAGCACCATCCATCTTAAGTTTTTGTGTTAGTATCTTGTGAATTCTTTGTGTTAACTGTGAAGCAGTCTCAAAATCTCTAAATTTAAAAAGTAATGGATGATCCAGGTAGAATGATGGGCGGTGGACTCATGGCTCCTCAGCCCTACGGAATGAACCCACAGGGCGATACCCCTTCTGGTGGAGAAAATGAACCAAGGAAACAAGATATTGGTGAGATTCTGCAACAGATTATGAACATAACTGATCAAAGCCTGGATGAAGCCCAAGCAAGAAAACACACTTTGAATTGCCATCGAATGAAACCAGCACTGTTTTCTGTTCTTTGTGAAATAAAGGAAAAAACTGTGTTATCATTGAGGAATACCCAAGAAGAGGAACCTCCAGATCCTCAACTGATGCGATTGGATAACATGTTGATTGCTGAAGGTGTTGCAGGACCAGAAAAAGGTGGAGGTGCTGGTGCTGCAGCTTCAGGGTCTGCAGCTGCCCAAGCAGGACAACCTGATAATGCAATTGAACATTCAGATTATAGAGCAAAGCTTGCTCAGATTAGACAAATCTACCATCAGGAATTAGAGAAATATGAACAGGCTTGCAATGAATTCACTACACATGTAATGAATCTTCTTAGAGAACAAAGTAGAACTCGTCCTATTACCCCTAAAGAGATTGAGCGTATGGTGCAAATCATTCACAAAAAGTTTAGTTCAATCCAAATGCAGCTGAAACAATCTACATGTGAGGCAGTAATGATTCTTAGGTCTAGATTCTTGGATGCTAGAAGAAAAAGGCGTAATTTCAGTAAGCAGGCCTCAGAGATACTGAATGAATACTTTTATTCACATCTATCTAACCCTTATCCTAGTGAAGAAGCTAAGGAAGAGTTGGCACGTAAATGTGGTATAACAGTGAGTCAGGTAATGCATCAATTTCTTTTTTAAATATGTGTGTATAATACCTATGTCTGCATTTTGTTTATTTATCTGTTCTATAGGTATCAAGTTGGTTTGGAAACAAGAGAATTCGCTATAAAAAAAACATTGGCAATGTAAAATGCTCAACAAATGCACCTGAACAGTCAATATCTTGGGTCAACTTCAAAGCAGAATAGTTTTAGAATTTGCCAGCTGAAAAAAAATTGGCTGGCAACCACATTACAGGCATTGAATGGGTATGTCAATTTTTTTTAACTGCAGATCCACAACATTATGAGGCAAAACAATCAATAAAATCACCTAAATTCAAAGTGGCACCATGTTTTGTTGAATGTTATAATATTCTGGAAAACAGGTTTTTGATTTTTGAATGATATGAAAGTATATTGGCAATGTTATAAAATTCCAAACATTTGCAAATACTTAAACTTACTCAGATTTTTTTTTCAGGCATGATGTTTTATGCTGCCACTTTGATTTCCATTTGATCAGAAAACTTTACATCCCTAACTTTAGGTTTTGGTGATAAACACTATCATAGTATATTAATATTTTTATTGTTGTTCATTTAATTTTGTTACTCTGTATGTTTAATCTTATATTTGAACGATATTGTGTCAAGGAGATGAAAATGATGGGATACATAAAAAAATTTGGTGCAATGTATTTGTGAGTAATATTAGTGGCAAAATTGTTATGCCCTCTCCTTTTTATTCCAATCATTTACAAATTCTATGTATGTGGAAATTGTTAATCCAATATAATTGTTGAGTTAATAATTTTCCAAAGCTAATGAATATTTTAAAATAGATTTTATGGCCATTGATTTTCTTTGAAAGTTTGATGAGACCAAGGTTACCCAAATAACTTGATTATATTGTTCTTTGCCACCATCATCTGTTGTGAATCTGTTAGTTAAGAAATAATATGACTTCTCATACCCAAAGCTTGTGGCTTTTGTGATCATTCATCATGTATTTCACAAAAAATATTGAGTGTTTTGATTTGTTGTGCATATATTGGGTGTCCTAAATGGGTGGCTTTCTGCCTGCTACTGTTTTTATTTTAAAAGTGTTGATTATGAAATTTGGGGGATATTTATAAAAAATAAAATAGCATTCTTGAGAGGTGACACAACTTTACAACTCCTGGTTTTTCTAGAAAAGTTATTTTTATATGGGGCACCCTGCTTATTCTATTTTTTTTTTGTTATCGAAATGACATTATAAGTGCAACTATGTGCAGTCCATTAGGATATAATCATTTGTAAATTGATCTTTGATCCAGGGTGCTGCAAATTTGTATGAGCTCATTTCAATCTAAGAAACCCAATTAAAAACATAATTCCACTGTTTTAGTTCATGTCATGTTAATTTTGAAATCTATTCTGTTGATTTTTTCAATGGAAAGATGGTGGCTCAGTAAGTTGGAAATTATTTATTTCTATGAAATTGATAAGATACATTATTTGGTTAAAATCAAACTTTTTTGAAAATCTTGGAAATAAGACAATCCTGCATCAAAATAATTATTTCTCAAAATAATAAAATATAAGAAATCTCACATAGTTGCATTCAGAAAAAAATTTCAGTTGAAAAAATATATTATGTCTACTCTCAAAAAATGCTATTTCATGACTTGTTGAATGATTTGATGTAGAATTATTCCCAAAAACTGAATCTTATACCTGGAATTTTCAGTGAAAATGAAACATGAAAATAGCAATAGCATTGTGAAAATTACTGCTGTATTCCAAATAACTAAACAGGGTTATTGATTTTTTGTTTCCTCTAGGAAGAATTTGTTGAGGAACAACAGGAAGTTGTAGTGCATTGCAAAAATTCTTCCAATTTGAACTATGATTTTTTCAACTACCTTTGAAAAGCAATTATAAGTTCAAAAACATAATAATATATAGATAATTGTTCACTAATTTTATTGCATATATTTTTTCTTGTGAAGCTACTACCTATTGGAAACTGTGCCTAGGAGTCAATTCTCATGTTGAACTTCAAGGTGAAAATGGCATATTATTATCACTATCTATCTTCCTTTCAGACTTAGAAGGTGGGCATGCTCTTATGAAAACATTTCCAAAGCATTGAGTTTGTTATAAAAATTGATTTCCTGGAACTGAAATCAGTCTTCCTATATTTAGTTTATAAATTCAAATTTTTGTTCTAGAAAAATTTCAATTCTTAAACTAAATACGCTTCTCCAAGAAATTAAGGCACTACCAAAAAGTAGCCAAAAGTTCAGGAAACATTTTCATCAAAACTACTTGTCTGCTTTGGACGTTTCTTGTTCTGAATGACAGGTTATTTCCTTATGAACATTGGTTTTCAAACTGTATTCACATTATAACTTTTTTATGAATACCAGGTGTAGCAATTATAGTGCATTTTTTTCATGACATTTGTAATACCATGTGGAGTGCAACAGTTACGTTATCAAGATAATATTGAAAGTACACTAGCTTTGTCATTTTTGAACATTCCTTTCCTCTTTTGGATTCACTCCACTAGTTTTCCAATTCCTCCAGAAATATAATTTTATAGCATAACATGATTTTAGAATTCAATTGGCATTACAAGCAGAAAGTAGCAGGCTATGTGATCATAAATGGAAGCCTTACAGCTTAAAAGTACCTATCAGTGATTTTGGAACCACATATAGTGTAAGAATTTTTGTTCATGCAAGATTGCCTTGCCTCACACCGCCCAAGTTGTGAGAAATTATCTAGAGGAAGTCTGTATTGCTACCATGGCATGGCCAGCTTGGAGCCCGGATTCAAATCTCATTGAGAATCTCAAGGCAGTGACTGATGACTCCAACTTGTTACTTCCCATTGTGTTTCATTTTTTCCTTATTCAATTTGGATATACATTTTCCATAAAATCATGTTAAACTATAAAATGGTGTTTCTCCAGTATATGAAAGATAATAGAGTGAATCCAAAAAATTTAAGAAAGATAAGGCTAAAGTGTGATGTCAATTCTAATTCAATAGTGTAACTATTACACTCTACAGGGTATTACTAATTTCATGAATAAAACACCCTGTAATCGCTACCCCTGGTATGTATAAAAAAGAGGTTTTTATGCCAATACACTTTGCACACTAATGTTCAGAAGGAAGGAAATAACCTGTCATTCAAATCAAAAAAATGTCCAAATCAGACAAGTAATTTCAGATGAAAATGTTTCCTAAACTTTTGGCTGCTTTTTGGTGGTGTGTTAATGTCTTGGAGATGTGTATATGATGATTGATTTCAGTACATTTTCATGACAAACACAATGCTTTGGAAAAGTTTTCATGGAAACAAAGAATTTTTGCTAAAAAGATGAGCTTTAGCCACATTAAAAAAATGCACATTCTCTAAAAATACCTTGAAACTCTGAAACAAAGATAGATATGGATAAGCAGTTTTCACTATCCAGTTTAACACTCAGGTACTGACATCAGTTTTCGTCTTTATACAGGGTGTTTCATTGGGAAAGGTAAATAATTCAACTGTGGATAGGGGTCACTGGGGTGATTTGAAAAAACCCATGGTTAATGGGTCTTCGATTTCTTATAACCGAGATACAGGATGTTTCATCAATTTTGTCCATATCTTCATTGTCTCATAACTTTCCAACCAACCTGTATATATTTTTAAAAATTGGTACACTTGCTCAATCTACCCTGTGGAATTGATTGAGGCAACAACAAAAGATAAAATCCAGGTCCGGCCTCACTAAAAATTCACAAATTCTTTCTGCCAGAAAACAACACCCTATACATTCAAATTTCTAATTTTTTTTGCCATATCTGAAAAGAACATCAAAATTTCTATTCAACGATGTACTTTTTATTCGTGATATTATGTGCTCAAAATATTATTTTTGCTCATTTTGGGATACAAAATTGGATTCAGACCAGGCAACGGATAAATCTGAAATTTCGATGGTATGTATAAATTAACATAATCTACACTACTGAAATATTTGAAACGATCCGGCCTTGCCGCTTCTACTAGAAAGTAGCAGCAACTTCGATTTTTCAAATAGGCCACCCTGTATTCCACTACATTCTTGGATTCTTGCTGAACAGCAGAATTCATCGATTCAAAACATTCAAGGTCTAGCGGGACTGATAACTGAGATATAGGATGTGGAAAATCGAGATGTTTCAACTTTAGAAATGTTTTGTGTTGAAACTATTTATTATTGCATGGTCAAAACGGCTTCAATGTCCCTATCTCAACTTCCCATTTGATATTCAATTGAAACAGATACAGGGTGGTGCAGAAATCTGAATTACGAACCATCATGTATTTGTTTGGATTAAATGTAAATAGATACAAAGTTGAGATAGGGACATAAAAGCCGTTTTGATCAATAATAAATATTTTCGCAAAATAATTCTAAAGTTGAAACATCTCAATTTTTCTCACTCTAAATATCTCAGTTATTAGTCCCACTAGACCCCGAACTTTGTGAATCGATTAAATCAGCTCTTCAGGAAGCATCCAGGGTGTCCCATTTGAAAAATCAAAGTTACTGCTGCTTTCGAGTAGAAGCGGCAACGCCGGATTGTTTCAAATATTTCAGACGTGTAGATCCGAGTGTAGATCATGTTAATTTATACATACCATCGAAATTCCAGATTTATCCGTTGCCTGGTTTGCCAGAAACATCTAATTAACGCTTATCGTGAAAAGCCCTGTATAGTTTTGATGACGAACCTGCAACTAAGTCTGGAACAAAGAACGATATGAAATACTCCTAAATGTAATACTCAGGTATACTGAATAGGAAGTAATAAAATTAATAAATCTCGTCTGAATCCAATTTTGTACCCCAAAATGAGCAAAAATAATATTTTGAGCACATAATATCACGAATAAAAAGTACATCGTTGAATAGAAATTTTGATGTTCTTTTCAGATATGGCAAAAAAAATGAGAAATTTGAATGTATAGGGTGTTGTCTTCTGGCAGAAAGAATTTGTGAGTTTTATGTGAAGCCGGACCTGGATTTTATCTTTTGTTGTTGCCTCAATCAATTCCACAGGGTAGATTGAACAAGTGTACCAATTTTTATAAATATATACAGGTTGGTTGGAAAGTTATGAGACAATGAAGATATGGACAAAATTGATGAAACATCCTGTATATGGTTATAAGAAGTCGAAGACCCATCAACCATAGGTTTTTTGAAATCACCTCAGTGACCCCTATCCATAGTTGAATTATTTACCTTTCCCAATGAAACACCCTGTAGTTCCAGAATAGAAATTTTCCTTCAAAGAATGCCTCACAATTAAAGGTCCTAATGACTACAGGGTGTTGAAGTTAGAAATAAAAATTGTTGTTTTCTAGCAATAACTCTAGCATGGTTTTTACATTCAAATTCAGTATATGATTTCATCTTCAAGTAGGTAAATTTTTGAAGAGAAAGTCATTTCCTACTTTTCATCCAGTGTTGCACTACAGTAGATTGTGGAAATCTGTTCATCCATATTCTCTATGTCAATACACCCTATACCTCTTAAACTAACCACTTGAGCTTATGTTTTCATCTAATTCTCCATCAAATCAGGAATACACGAACGTTTTTCTTTCAATATCAATTATATGAGTAGATTGTGGATTGAAAGTATGATTGTGATATATCATAAAGGCAATTCCTTACTTAATCCTAATTTCCAGAAAAAAGTATTTTGTATTTGAAGAAAAACTGATACTGGGGAAATTATTTACTCATGAAATCAAATCAATCCACCGAGTATGACAAATCCATTCATAAGAGCAACAAAGTTACATTGGGGTAAATTGGTTCCCGGCCCCTTTTGCTTTGGAAGAGCATTTAAAATATTAATCAATTTCAAATTGAGGTTTATATTTGGGATTCGATTGAACACGTTCATGTTAAGAATAAACCTCGGATTTAACCCAGGAATAAACACATTCAAATTGGCAATCAAAACAAATTGGGAATAATCGATTTCCATATGTGACTAAACATTTTTTAACAATTAAACAGAAACATGCAATTTGATAATAATCATATTACATTTAAAATTCATCAATATAAAATTGGATGAAAATTCAGTTAATGTTATCAGTTATTCACTATACAATATTTTTACAAGATATTCTTCCCGTCATTCTGATTCGTAAAATATAAGGGAACAATAGTTATTTATTATTTTATTTTGGACAAAATTGGGATTTACACAGATGTGTTCAATGATTTATTCAATTGATCAAAATGTCCCTCCACTGCTCCACAACACATTCTAGCTCTTCAAATTATTGAAGACGTTGCTCTCTGAAGCGTATCCGAGTCATCTCGTATGTATACAGTGTAGATACTAGACTTTATGTGTCTCCAAAGGTACTAGTGGAGAGGCCTTAGGCCAGGTGACGTCGGTGACCAAAATAACTGCTCATTGAGCTTTAGACGAAAGTGTATAAGGCACTTTATTTATCGTTTGGAGCGCACGAAAGGGAATCCCTATAATGTTCAAAGAACATCGTGCGTTCCTAGGGAGGATAGGGACAGGAGGTAGGTATTGGAATTTTTTTCGAACTTCTGGAGATTATATGTTGTTGGGAATACTTCCACAGGCAATGAATTCCAGGGCCTAGCCGTTCTATGGATGAAGGAGTCTTGATAAAGTGCTGTTCGACATCTTTCGAGGTTGACAACGAAAGGAAGTGCTGACTGGGCTTGTCTAGTTCGTCTGATTGGTATTGCTAGTGAAGGGATGATAGCAGAGATTTCCGAAGAACATTTCCCGTTAAAGTATCGATAGAAAAGTGAAAGGTCGCCGACCTTTCTACGGTGTTCCAATGTTGTCAAAGAGTGAGTGAGTGTGGCGTCACCCACCAGGCGAATGGCTCTTCTCTGGATGGAATCTAAGAGCATCAGCGTATGTTTTGGTGCTGAACCCCATATGTGGGAACAGTATTCTAGAACAGGCCGTATCTGCGCTTTGTAG